CATCAATATCTATCCTCTTGACCACTCGATCCCAATCCTCATTAAAATGTGGTTTCTTTTCAAATAATGATTAGATCAATGACTTTTCACTCGATCCCAATCCTCATTAAAATGTGGTTTCTTTTCAAATAATAATTAGACCAATGACTTTTCAAATTTGCCAGTAAATATTCATATGATGTTTAGAGGCGGTTTAGGTACTGCAAATCTATTATGCGGTAATAGGTTACAAGAAAATATGGCATTTTCACTATTTGAGTGCACTTAATCGTAGAAAAAATGGAAATGAAAAAATAAATTACATAAAATTTCTTCAAAAATCAGAAAATCTATTACGTATGTTTATAGGTGAAAAAATCTATTAGGGACTGATAGATAATTTTGGGAAATCTTTCGTATGCATTTTTTCTTGTCCTATCCCTGATTATAAAAATCTTCTCTTGTAAGCTCCTCTCCCCATAATAACTAGTATAGGTGATCCCTCCCTATTTAAGGTCGTCGCCTCATCTAAAGGCATCAGCTGACACATAAAAATAAAATTAATAAAAATAAAAATTAATAATCAACGATAAATTACACAATACAATCATAATAAAATATTTTACACAACATAATCCTCATAAGAGATTACTAAAATCTCATTTGAAATAACATACATATTTAGTCTCCTCCACTACCTCAAAACTTTATACTGCAATTACCAAACCTTTTAGTTTACTAATCAAATTTCTTTTCATTTTTTATCTCCATATCATAAAGATTTTGAATTTAGTATTATAAATTTATTATTTATTTGAAATTATATAGAAAGACATTTGAAAGACTTCTATATAAAATAAATAAAAATAAGGCTTATCATAATAAAATCATGTTATTCCAATAATATTGTTCTAATGACTTATCATGTTGAAACCAATGTCATGTTAGAAGACATGTGATTCCATTTAAGTGGCAAAAGCAGGTAAAATAAGTAAGAAATGGTGTCATGATGACTGTAAAATGGTACAAGTTATTACTAGAAATGTTTTTTGAAATGGTGATGATGTTATTATTAGAAATCTTTTTGGAATGATATGATGATGATTTAAATTCAGTATTTTAGTGAAATTTGTGACAAAAAAGAAAGAAATGATAATTCTGCATTTTCGTGGAATTTTGTGAAAAAAAAGAAAAAAATGATAGTTTATAGGTACGTGCAGGTAAAATGTTGGTAATGAATTTCTTATATTTCTTCTAGATACAACCAAACAATAACAATGCATTTGTCAGATTGCATTTAAATACTATCCAAACAGTAATAATCCATTTACCGAAAATGTATTACTTCAGTAATATATTTACCAACAATATATTTCCAGGTATCCAAAAAGCCCTTAATATTTTTGTTTTTTTTTGTCCTCGGTGAACCAATCTTTTTCACAATGAGTTTCAATGTGCACCATCTTATTGATTATGTTAATTAAGAAAAGATAGGACCATTATAAGCACTAAGGTCAAGTGATAAGGCCATAATTGTCCTTATCGGCCACTAACTTCCATTATTATGATATGGAAGACAGGTTAGGTGGTCGCGCGCGTCAAACCACATAAGCCTCCAGTTGTCTATATTTCATTTTAGGATCATTTTCTCTAGAAGGGAAAAAATGATTTGAGCTTGTGCCCCTTATCCATGAGATTAAATCTGGACCATCCATTTTGATGGGTGAGAATTTTGAGGTGAAGAGTAATTTTTTCTTTTATCTACTCGATGTTGGGATGCATCGAAGACACTTCGAAAAAGCTTTTAGGTTACATAGTCCCCTGGCTAAGGGTTTTACCCAAGGACCAAAACTACAATACGGTCTCAGAGGAATGTTTCATGCATGCATTAAAAAGAGAGAGTACGGCTTAGAATTATCCGAATCGGTGAGAGACACACAGTAGGGCTTAAGAGTTTTCCATATAGGGTCCGGATCTAGATTCGAAAAGTATATATAGGATCCAGAATGTTTGGATTCAAATCCATATCTCATCAGTTCGATCCATAACGGGGATTAAGTCTTTAAAAGCTAAAAAAATATAATTTATATTTTATATAGCATTTCTTCTTCTCAGCCATTTTGGGTTAAGAAGATATAGAAGCGCGTTTCATAAAAATTAATAGATATATAATATATAATAATATAAACTATTTTAATAACCAGATCGGATCCACTTGTATTCAGATAATAATTTGGATCCAAATTTTAGATGTGGATTCAAAACTTGGATCCACACCCAAATCTAAGAAATATCCAAAATTCAGGTTTTGGATGCAAACGGGCGGGTTAAATCTTCAGCCCTAAAAGAGAGAGAGAGAGAGATTATAGAACGTGGTAGGCGTGCATCCATTTCACATGGTAGGCATGAGCGTGGCCGCCCATAAAGCATGCGTTACCAGAAAGAAGACAGAAATAAAAACAGGCCAAAGGTTGAGGATAAGATAAAACGTTAGGTGAGGCCAACTAGAACTAGGTATCTTCAAATATCCCTTTCGTCCTTTTTTTTATTTTTTAAGCAATCAATTTCTCCATGATAATGCCATAATTGAAAAATAAAAACTAAAAACTAAAAAAAGATAGGTTCAAATATCCCTTTCGTACTTTTTTTTTATTTTTTAAGCAATCAATTTCTCCATGATAATGCCATAATTGAAAAATAAAAACTAAAAACTAAAAAAGATCGCACAAAGGTACATCCTTTCAAGTGCAACAAACACTAGCCGGGAAAGATCCTTTTCAGCATGATCCGTCGAGAGCAAATTGTAGTCCTGCTCACTCGGGCATAAGAGCTACTCACTCAGAAGGACATTTTTCAATCTGAAATTTTTATGCTGCACTTTCTATTAAGAAAAGGGTTTGAATTCTCGGACTGTCCGGAAATTGGAGGTCTCTATTCAATCTCGGGATAACATTTTTTCATATAAATAAGCATTTGTTTTTTATTCTCAAATTTTGGGATTACGAAACTACTCATAAATTAAATGAAAATATATGGTCATGCTGGAGCATGTAAACTTTTGACTTCAAAGAGATGGCTCTGTCTTCTTTCTAGAATGCCTATCTCAATACAAAATGGAAAGCTGGTCCCTCCCAAAATTAATGAATGTGATGCTTTTGATAAATACACGACATTCCTTGTTTATTATCGTCTCATAAAACAAAGAGAAAAGGGGTGAAGAAATTTAATGTAGAAAAAAGGTGACGGCTGAAAAGATGCCTGAATTAGTATGAAACCATGTTGCTTTCATAAAAGGAGTAATATATTATAAAACTATGTACTTTTTGTACAAAGCAATCATATTTACATATGAAATTGTGCGCTTTGATGTACATCATGAACAAAGTCTAAGCGTTTCACATCCGAAAGTTATGAATGGCTTATGTCCAGTTTTATCGCAAACATAAATAGTATTATAGTATGCAATCCCCTAAAATATTTGCCCTCTAAAGCCTACCAAACCAAAAAAAATATTCCATCACAAGAATTTAGAGGTAAGGCAACACAAAGGGAACCCCCAAAAAAGAAGTAAAAAAAATAAAGAGCATCTTTGGAGCAATTGGATACCACGGAATGGACCATCACGCATATAACTCACTAATATTTATATTATTAAATTTTCAAAAAGTCAAGACTATTTATCTTTGGTATATATTTAGATTCGATGATCTTATACTATATAATCCAATTAATATTCTGTTGGTTAAGATATAGAAAAGTATACAACAAGATTATTTATCTTTGATACAAGGTGGTCTCAGTTAATCTTGACTATTAGATGTAAAATTAGATGGTTGCATTTATTCAATTGACCAAGCTCAAATTTTAAAAGTAATTTTCTCGAACTTTATGAAACACCCAAACTATCAAATTTCTCATCGAATGTTGCAAGTAATTGTGACCTCCTTGTCTCAAAAGTAAATGGTCTCCTTATATACAATCCCATAAATTATAGACGTATCAAAACAAACTTTAATTAAATTACAAAATAACCATAAAGGCAATATGGGTATATATGTATATAACATAAAAATATGTGTATATATACACCGTGTTAATTTTACTTTTGAAAATTGTTTCATAAGGGATGGACCGCATTTCTACCTATGCAGTCCAAAAAGTGTAAAGCATCCATCTTAAAGATAGATGGAAGTATCATTGAAAATTACGGTTTGCGAATGGGGATGGGGTCGTAGTGGTAGCATCACTTGTGCCCCAGCTAAAGATTAAGCTTCCTTTCTCACCGAACTCATTCAAAAACTGCTAACAAATTCAAAAAACGGTAGGAGCTCGTCATCCCCACTAAATTACCCAAAAAAAAAATGGATGTAAGTAGGTGTTCTATCGAACTGTCCAAATGTTTTCTTACTAGAATTATTATTTTTAGTTTTTGAAATTTATTTATTTTTTCATGTTCATGATCCCCATCTTAGAGATTACATGTCCTTAAAAACTAAGTCTCAAAATGGATCTCAAAAATAGATTTATTAAGAGGCCCGCATTTCTGCATATGCGGGCTTTTACTTTTCTTATCTATTATGACACACTGGTTATTTTAACTTACGAAAACAAAGGTGTCTCATGCAAGAAACTTAGGTGAACCTTCAGATGAAATTGAAAATTAGTGACAATGACATTGTAAAACAAAACACACAAAAAAGGCAAAAGCCGTTTCAAAAGATACTAAATCTTGCCTTTGCCCAATAAAACAAGACAAAAGCCTGAATAAATCCGAATCTGAGGAGATATATCAGAAAAATAATCCATTTCAGAAAATTTTTCTACTATTCCGAAAGTTGAAATTTTGTTTTTCCAACTCGAAAGCGAGTCAAACCCTTACCTAAAAAAGTGCACCACGTTTGGAAATTTTTTACAGGTGCAAGATGCATTCCCTTGTGGCCCCCATTTTTTCAGGACCAGAGGATAGAGACAATTCCTTGACCCTCTCTCTTACTGATATAACCCAATCCCTACTATTTTTGGAACTTTCTTTGAATGAATGGGTCCCTCTTTTGGTCTTTGAGGGCCCCTCTGTGTGTAACGGTAACTGGGTTCTTCCAAAACTAGGGTTAAAAGCTGCGAATTTGATAAGGCTCCTAATTTATTCCCCACTTGTCAATGATGGGTTTTCAGTTTCATTCTTAAAAAGTGATTCTGAAGACCCATCTTTATGTAACAGTTGTTGGGTTTCCTTTTCAAAGGGGAAGCAGCCTGTTTTTGGGTGGCATTTTGATGGAGTTTTGATTGCTAAGGTTCTATACTGGTTTAGTTACAGAATGATCATCTCTATCTTGGGTTGCTCCTTTTTTGTGCTTTTCTTTTCGTAGAAATGAAAGTTTATTATTAGAACCATTCTCAACTCTCAACCATTTCTTCTCAATTCAGAGCTTTCTTTGTCTCTCTCTATTTTTTTCTGTTTAAGTCAGTCTCTAAAGCTTTGGAAGAAAAATAAACCATTTTTCGAACCCATTTAGTGTAACTCATGGATTTGGGTTATTTGATGAGTAAATCATGGTGGCTTTGTGGGATTTTACTGTGTTTATTTGTTGATGGTGGATATGGGGGCCCTGTTGAGGATCTGGTACATAGATTACCAGGTCAACCAAAGGTTGACTTCAAGCAATATGCTGGTTATGTTAATGTGGATGAGAAGGCAGGGAGAAGCTTATTTTATTACTTTGCTGAAGCAGATGGTGATGCAGACAAGAAGCCCCTCACTCTCTGGTTGAATGGAGGTTAGTTGGCTTATTGTAATTTTTTTTTAATTAATGTGCACAATTTATAGCTTTTGGGATTGCAGGTCTTATGTTCAACTGTTGTTGTTGCTGTTGTATAATTGTTAGCCTTGGTTATCCTTTTACTTTGGTCTTCGGTTTTTTTTTTCGCATTTATTTTGCATGCATGTCTCTTTACCTTAGCCTTGGTCTAGCTACCAGTGGAATCTGTTCTTTGGTGATGCTCTTACTTTTATTTCATATGTTTAGTTTTCTTTACTTTTTCATTATTTTTTACTTTTTTTACTTCTTTATTATGTATTTTAATGTCAATAGTTACAATTATATTGTCATTCACATATTATCTAAATTCCCATGAAGAATGGTGATCACTCTGAAGATAAATATAGGATTCTTTTATATTTATTGAAGATTCTTCAGTCAATTTTAACAGAGTGAAAAACTTTTCTATTAGAATTCAACATAATCAAGGGAATTTTGGGTGATACTGGAAATTAATGAGAATTAAGTATCTGAGAGAAAGCAGAGGCTTGGAAATCTCTAAAATCTCTAATACAGACTCAGCTGTCACCATTTAGACTAAGAAATGCCATTTATTTGTGGTTATCTATTCATATCAATGAATAATAGTTAGTAATATAAATTACAGTTCCTTAGTTATCAAAGTAATATTAAGTGGTTTTTATTACTTTGTTATCACTGCCAAACTGTAGAGAGTGACAATGCTAATTCTGAGAAAAATGGATGGGTGAGCTTCAGAAAGGGCACACATTTGGTTAGAATATACTAATTTTAGGATTTTTTTCTTTTCTGTTTATTTTTTTATTCTAGTTTGAGGAGCTGACAACATGGCAAGTTGTTTCGGCACAGTTTAATTTCTTAAAACTAGATTAAATTCTGTTAAAACTTACTGAGAATCAGAAGAAAAATCCTAGTTGTTATAGCTTTTCCAAGATGGACACTCCATCCATGATTTCCCTCTCTATGAGATGTAAGAGCTTGTCTTTCTATGTGTATGTGTGTAGATATATCAGATGGATTCTGTCCTCTTTCTGTATAAATTTTGTTGTGATTATGCGAGAAGTTAACAAGTATCCTGCTCAGGTCCGGGTTGTTCTTCCATTGGTGGTGGTGCTTTTACTGAATTGGGCCCGTTCTTTCCAAGAGGAGATGGCCGAGGCCTCATAAGAAACAAGAAATCATGGAACCGAGGTTATTTCATGCTTGTATATTTAGTGCATCCATATTTACATTAAAGAGTTTCAGTAGATACTCTCTCTCTCTCT